TGAAATATTAATAATCGTGGCATGGATTTTTTTTTTTATATAGTTCACACCATGCATAACTTTTGCTAATTGCATACCTTATGAAAGGTTCGCATGATGCTTAAAAGTCTATGCTTAGCATTGCAAACTTTTCATCATATCTCAATAAGATCATATTTTATTAATAATTTTACTATTTTTGAATGATGTTATAAAAGATTATTTCATCTTTTAATATTGCTCCGCGCATTGCGCGGGTTCTAACACTATTAATATATAAAAGCAAGGTAGTTTGCTTTATATGGAAATCAAATATAATTAGCACAGTTTACCACTTGACATTTTTTTGGATTATAGAATGACAGATGTTAGAATTCACACAATTTAGCACAATTGTAAGGATTGTAAAAAGATCAGTTGTTTTATAGTTTCTGATAATCCCTCTATCAAGATAATATCTATAAAAAAAAAAGATTATCTTTAGCATTTAATATATTAATATAAATTTATTCCTATAATATAAAAAAAAAAAACATTATCTTTAGGCATTATATTGTAGTATTTAATTTTATTAAAAATTTATATTCATTCTTAAAAAATTATAATAGTAATCCACTACTGGGTTCTTAAAAAAAGAAATTTTTGAATCATACAATACTCGCATTTACTAATTAAATAAGAACAAATTATAAGGCAATTAAAAATATAAAAATTAGAAAATGTAATGAAGATACGCGAGTAATTTTATAAAAGACAGGGATCAATCCATTTGTGCTTGTAATTATTATTACACAAAATAAAAATTAATGGACAATTACATTCATTTTACAAATAAATAAATAAAATAATAATTTATGATAAATTAATTAAAACAAGTAAAAATAAGATATAACAAAATTTCTTAATTTCGAATGTCAAATTAACACAACTTTAAAAAATTAATACTTTTTTTTTATTCGGAGTAATTTAATAAAAAGTCTAGTTTGATGGCTTCGTATATAGGAGCAGTTCTATTCACTTCTTTTAATAACCAGGAGCTATAAGTTCTACACGATTATTCAATACCAATGAGAGATACATGAGCAAACGGTTAGCGTGGATACGAATAATTTATATAAAATAAAAAAGAGAATTAATCGTTTAGACATACAACGCGAGCGTTAAAACATACACACTAAATAAAGTATTTAAAAGATTGGACAATTGTAATTTATTTTCAAGTAAAAGTAAGACACAATTATTATTAATATAATAAAAATCAACTATGAAAAAAAGTAAAAAATACACTAATTTATATTTGCTTATAATTTCAGATGACACACAAAAGCAAATTAAAAAAAAAAACTTCATTTTTATTCGTTAATAAAAAACAAGTTCTTAGTTGATTAGTTTGGTGTATTGATTAGTTTGGTGTATAGAGTAGTCTCATGTACCAAAAGCTAGTTTGCACAAATACAGGACATGAGATACAAGAACGTACGAGATACGATAATTTTTAAAAAAGGTAGGACATCTACACGCTTAGGATACAGTACGCTAAATAAGTAATACATTAATATTTCAAATAAATAAACAACTATTTATAATAAATTATAAACACAAAAAACTTAATTTCTTATTTCAATGACACAAAAAAATACTTTATTTTTTATTGCTAATAAAAAATCTTGGTGGATTAACTTGATGTATAGAATAGTTTCATATACGAGGAGCTATGTTGCATGGAAACGGAATACACAATTTTTAAAAAAGGTAGGACATTCACACGCTTAGGATATAGTACACTAAATAAGTAATACATTAATATTTCAAATAAATAAACAATCATTTATAATAAATCATAAATATAAAATAAAACATAAATATAAAATAAAAGATATTTAATAAATATAAAATAAAAAATATTTAATTTCTTATTTCAATGAGACAAAAGCAAATTTAAAAAAAAAAAACGCTTCATTTTTATTGATAATAAAGAAAAACCTTGGTTGATTAGCTTGATATAAGGAGTAATTTCATACACCAGGAGCTCGGTTGCATAGACACGAGATACGAGATACGGAAACGTATGAATACGATAATTTTTAAAATGTAAGACATCCATATGCTTAGGATACACTCACTAAATAAGAAATATATTAATATTTCAAATAAATAAATAATCATTCATAATTAATCATAAACATAAAATAAAAAAATATTTAATTTTAATCGCATATTAAACATAAAATATCAAAAACCTATTTAATTTCTTATTTCAATATATATAATTAGTTAAATTCTCAAAATTATTATCACTATTGAAAAAATATATTAATAGTGTTGTAAAGTGCATTGTCCTTTTTTATATAGCTCCATATTATTGCATGGCTTCCTTACTATTGTATTACTTTGTATGAAAAGCTTGCATGATCACTCAAGAAATAAATTTTAGCACGGCAACTTTTCTAGGCATATCATGAAATAAAGAATACCTTCAATTTTATCTTATTTTATTATATAATTTTAAACTTTTTTGAATATGTATAAAATATACTAATTTCATCCTTTAAATATTAATCACTGCCATCTTTGTGTCAGATATTATGGAAATAAATAACAAATTTATATTTTGCAGATAATATCATATAGGGTCGAAAAAAAACTAAATTAAGATATTATGCAAGCAAAAAACTAATTTAATTTGGAAAATAACAAAGGATATAAGGGAAAAAGAAATTCCGATAATAATTTCCTCTTCAATGTTATAAGGTGACCGCGAAATAAATAAACGTATAAAAAAATCTAAATTTTATGAGTAAGGATATGCTACTTTTATTTTTCTTTTCTAGCTCACACCAGAATAAGAAAATAAGATACAATTTATCATTTTATTATATAATTTTACTATTTTTGAATGATGTTATAAAATACTATTTCATCTTTTAATATTATCCTGCACATTGTGCAGATTATAAGGGAAAAAATAACAATTATATTTTCAGATAATATCATATAGGCGAAAAAAAACTAAATTAATATTAATAAGCAAAAACTAATTTATTTGGAAATAACAAAGGAATATAAGGGAAAAGAATTCCGATAATTTTCTCTTCAAATTATAAGGAAAATAAAAAACTATAAAAATAAATTTATAGAGAAAAATTACTTTTATTTTTCTTTTCTATCAAAAATAAATAAATAACAAAAGTTTTTCCGAAAAGAAATTTAGTCCCTTCTTATTTTTTCTGATTATTCATTAATAAAACAAGATACAAAAATAAATTTAAAAAACACTTCATCACGCAACATGGAAATGTATGCGATATGATAATTTTTTAAAAAATAGGAGATCTACACGCTTAGGACACACTACAATAAATAACTATAATACATTAGTATTTTAAATAAATAAACAATCATTTATAATAAATAAATAAACAATCCTTTATAATAAATCATAAACATAAAATAAAAAATATCTAATTTTTATTTCAATATAATTAGTTAAATTCTCAAAATTTATTATCACTATTGAAAAATACATTAAGTAGTGTGTGTGTATTTTTTATGCAGGTCATACTAGGAGTGTCAAAATAGGTCACGACATGGCGAACACGATTCGGTTAACACGCAAAATAAATGGGTTAGGGTTAAGGTTAAATGAGTTCGTGTCATAAATGAGTCACTCATTTATGACACGAATATAAATGTGTTGTGCCGTGGGTTGACACGCGGGTTAGGCGGGTGATCCATTTATTTAAGAGTAAAAAAAAAGTAATTTTAATGTTAGATATAAACACTCCAACTAAAATCTATTTAAATTTTATTGTTGTGTTACTTTTTTATTTTAATTAGGAACCTTGAAAATTTTATTCATTTTACATGTGAAGATTTATTTTTAAATATGATTAGAGTTAAATAGGTTAAAAGTTAAAAATACTATAAACAGGTTAAGTGGTTCATATATAGGTCAACACATCCACTTAACCTTTTATGATATTAAGTGAATTATACGAGTTGTATTCGGGTCAACACGATCCACTTAACCTGTTTATAATATTAAGCAGGTTAAACGTGTCGTGTTTGTGTTGTGTTGTGTTGAAGTTATAAAAAATTATTTCATCCTTTAATATTGCTCTGCGCATCTAGCGAGTTCTAACATTTGTTCCAGTAAATAACTAATACTATAATTCATGTCAAAAAAAAAATTACTGCAATTAATATTAATGTTTTTGTAAAAAGAGAGAGACTTATTTCAGGACTACTAACATAGTTAATCAAATTAATTCGGGTCTCTCAAATTTATAGTAATATAGACTATTGTATATAATAAATTAATAAAACATTATATATATAACAAAATTATTGGAAGGATCGCCCTCATAATGGTCTATGCAGAACCCGAATTTGGATTAGTCGGCTGTGCTAGATACTGAGTTCTTTAATAATAATAATAAAAAAAATTAAATCATGAATGCCTAAAGGCTATGAGTACCAAAAACTACTTTAAATAATAAGTGGTTGAATATATAATTTAACCCCAAAAAAACCTTATGACATCCTGAACTTTCAAATCGACTTTATGACACTCTCAACTTCTCTTTTATAATAATCTCACAATGAAATATTGATAATATCAGTGACACCTTTTATATACAAAATATTGATTTAATATGTGATTAATACAACTTTTAAAACAAAAATTTTCACATTTTTTAACTAACTACCCAATAAGCGTTTATTTGATTTAATTTTATAAGTTAAAGTAAAATGAGTGCAATTTTATAAATTGAAGTGTTTAATAGGTCAAAGTGAAAGTTGAAGGTGCCACAAGATTTTTCATAAAAAGTACATGGATGAATTTATGTATTGAGCCAATAATAAGAACTAAAATTAAGTTTCTAATTAATTGTAAATTATTTTATTTAAATGTACTTTGGTTTCTTTTTAGACCAGTCAAAATCTTCTCAGTATTTTCCTAAAGGAGAAACGCATTAATAGCCAAAATTTATGCATCAACTTAATCTCAACTCAACTGGGAAATGAAGCAAATGGAGCCATTAATATAATAACAAGAAATAAGCCAAATCTCTGCTTCACTACATGACTAAAAATGTACACTCTAAGATTCAAAAATTATAATCCACGAAAAAGGTTATAATACATTTTGGGATCATGATGGAGAATTTTAATAGCATCACATACCTAGCCTTTTTGTACCGCATTCTGAGCAGAACTTAGAGGTTTCCCTTAGATATGGAGCGCCACATTCATCACAAAACTTTGCTGGGCTTGCAGGCTGCAAGTTGTAGAAATCTGGTAAAGATATTCCATTTTCTGTGTAGAATTTATAAGCATAATGGAGCCATAACCTAAAAATGGGATAATAAAAGCCTTGTATCATAAGGATTTTTTTTTTTTTTTTTTTTTTTTTTTTTTTTTTTTAAGCCTTGTATCATAAGGATTTTTTTTTTTTTTTTTTTTTTTTTTTTTTTTTTTTTTTTTTTTTTTTTTTTTTTTTTTTTTTTTTATCATTCCATAGAATAATGAAGAGCCTTATATGTTTCTTCAAGTAAATAAGCTGCTGCTTCATTTCAGTCTCGAGGGAAATTTGTAATTTTTAACTTATTTGAGTCCCTATTGCCTTGAGAAAACATAATTCCTCCTAGTTCGCTTCAGGGGTCTGAATCATGAAGTTAAAGAGCATGGGGATAAGTTTTGAAGTTATTTACCTCAAAGATGCAATAGTTTTGAAGTTCTTTACCTCAAAGGTGCAAAACAGCTTGGCTCTACAAGACTCCATAATCCATATGCTCCCAATGCTCTTTAAATTGGTGTTTTAACCCTAGAAGTGCGAGGCTCTGCGGAGGGGGTATCCTACTACTAGTGCAAAGTTTTGTATGCTTAAATTTTTTTTCTTGAGTATTCATGAGTTCTACAAACCCTAGCCCTAATCTTTATGTTTTAAACTAAATTGTAAATAATGCAGGAAACTTCAAAATATGCCTAACCATCTTTTCACATTTAAGCAATGGAAATGAACTGGTTACACGGTATTCAAAGGCCTAAAATACACTAAAGATTGCTGCTCTATTCTATCTCCCAAAATTATCCTTCCTAATCTTTCTAGATTGAGGCTTAAATGATGAGAGCCTGCTTCTTAGAAATTTGTTGAAAAACATAAGTTTCAAAAATTTGAAGCACAAAAGGAAGATGTCCATGGTGTCATGGAAATGACATCATTTGGCTATTACTCAGTAATGCAGACAGACATTGGCAACCCTCCCCATTTGAGCACCTTTCTTTCAGAGACTTAATTGAATCAGGCAATCGACCATGCATATTTTGTTAGACATAATGGGAGTCTTGAGCTTGCTATTCAAAGAATTAATTGGTTCAAGGTCTGAGAGACTGAATTCATAGAAAATTCTTAAAGGTCAGACTACTGAGATCTCCTTCAAAAGACCCTTTTCTTTATGATGATAACTGTGGCCCCTCAAAACCCCCCTCAAAACCTAGGAGCATCTCTAATTCGGTAACAATAATAGAGGTAGCAGGCTAAAAATGAAGTTATAGCCAGTGTTATGATGTTCTATCTCACCAATTATATATGCTTAAATTACTTGCTTAAAAGAGAATTCCAATTAAAAGAACCCTCACCATTAAATGCAAACGCCCTCCAACATGACCTCCTGTGAGGGGTTGCAAGTATGCCATATGTTGAGAAATGTTAGGAGACTGATTAGCATTGGTGATTTCAGGCAAGTGTGAAGTAGGACATTGTTGACTTTGAGAAAACTGGGTTGCATGTTGACTTTGATGAACTTGATGATGGTTTTGGTGAAGTGGGTGAAACTGAGGTTGATGTGACAATGAATCCACGTGATGCTTTGGAGTAGGTTGCTGCTCATTTTGTGGCTGCATAAAGTAAAAAACAGCAGATGATTTCTTAAAGCATAATATCATTGATGCCAAAATATCAAATAGATATAATCACATGCCTTAAGCAAAATAGCAAAACAGCAACTGGGTCAAATAGTGACATAAATGTTACATAAAAGTGTGCCAAGATAAATGATACATAAAACCTGCGAAAAACTAGAGAAAGGCAATGAATGAAATCACTAATCCAGTCATGGATGGAAAGCTTCCACTGCTTTTTTTTGCAGTGTTTATAACTGAATATTACTTTCTTAGGTAATAGCATTCACAAAAGTTCTATTTTTTTTTTTTTTAACTTTTGTTACTTTTCCAACAAAACACAAGTACTTTAGTTCTAAATACGTTTCAAACATAAAAACATAGAATTCCATGCTTTAAATTAAATCATTCCAAGCATGAATGAATTCTAAAGAGAATTCATTAAATTCCACACTTCTAATTCATTCATTCCAAATGGACTGTTAATGAACTCTTCTTACTAGAAAACTGATAAGAAACTCAAATTGCATTCATTTGATAGGTTTGAGTGGTGAGAAGAAGGAAATCCCCTCTTCCCATGTTGAGTGAACCAAGAATACAAGATAAAAGCATTATTGTTTTATTCAGTCCACTTTTCATATCCCTTTAATCTCTCCACTAGATACAATACCATAGAACAAAACTAACAAAATTTATATCTACAATAAACTCAAATAAAAGATAGTGTAAAAAAATCAGGGGCATTTTAATACTTTAATTACTAAAGTTGTCCTTTGACTACTACAAAGAGTTTTGACCGAAACATATTTTGGATACATTTGTTAATGGAAGCAAATGCAGAGAACTGCTTAATTAGTTTCTCAAAAAAGAGGGACAATTTCTTACCCAATTAACATTTTTATCACTAAGGTTTGTTCATGACGTAACACATGCAATCCTTGTTAATAAAATTAAAAATATTTCACTACACTTTAGTACTTAAGGTTTTAGCTTATACAATAGTTTGATCCTTGAAATTTTAAATACATTATATTTTAGTTTTTGAGTTATTATATTAAAAAAATACTTTAATCCCCCGAAATTATTTTTCACAAAAATTAATTTAGGAACTAAAAATAAAAATTTTGACAAACCTCAGGAGAGTTAAAGTATTTTACACTACCTTTATAAAAAAAATGTTGAGCAAGCTACAATTTTCTCAATTACATGGGCTATATATATGCTTAAGTGGTAATGCTGCATGTTTTTTTTTTCTTTTTGAGAAAATATAAATTAGCTGACAAAGTTTTTGACATTCTTCTTCAACTTAACCCGATAAATTACAAACAAAAAGTGTTAATTTTCTCAACTATAACTTACTCTCAAATATAAATTGTTTGGCAGCAAGCTATAATTTTCTCAATTACATGTGTACATTTGCTTAAGTGGTAATGATACATTTTCTTTATTTTTTAGAGAAAAATATAAATTAGTTGGCAAAGCTATTGACATTCTTCTTCAATTTAACCCACTAAATTACAATGAAAAAAAAGTGTATAATTTTTCAAATATAAAACTTGAGAAATTTTTCTAAATCAGCCACTATGAGGAGAGAGCTGTGTTCAATTTCCACTCTTTTAAAAGTGTGAGAAAATAACATTCGGATCTTACAATTTTTGTAACTTTTAAATAAATGGTTACAAGTTAAAAAGTTTTCTAAAAAAAGATCTATTTACATGCCTGAATTTTAATTTTCAAACAACAAAGGAGTTACAATAGCTTAATAAATAAATAAATAAATATTGACAGTTGACATAAAACCTAATACAACAATAGAAAGATAAAAAATGGAAAACAAAGAAAGCTAATACAAAAGATTTTTTACTATTTGTAAAAAATTTCTTCAATTGTACTTTCAATTAAAAAGGTTCAAAATAATATCTTCTACTAGTTACACAATTTAAATAAATAGTTTTTTTGTTTGATAATTTTATTTTTATTGTTTGATAATTTTAAATCTTTTGCGGTCTCTATTCAAAATGATTTAATATAAAACTTTTTTTTATTGACAATTGATTCCATAAACAGAAAATTTAAATTAGTAACCTAGAGTCACCCACAAAAATGAAATGTATGATGTTACACAATGCCACATATTAAATTGGGAGGCTGCAAATTGTGTATCTACAAATAAGTTTAGGTTTTCATATGGAACCTGGATTTTAAAGGTCAAGGAATTAAGCAGTCCTATTTTATACAATATTTCTTTGTATTTTATAATCCATTCAAAATTATAATCACCAACCAACACCACCACCCCCCCCCCCCCCCCCCCCCCACAAAAAAAAATAAAATAAAATAAAGAAGGCGGTGTCAACAGGGGTGCCTCACCAAAAAAAAAAAAAAAATAAAAATAAAGAAGGCGGTGTCACAGGGGGTGCCTCACATCACATGCATGATATATGAACAATTATAAGATACACAATCAAAGGGTTTACAATTGCACAAAAAAGACAAATTACTTAAAATATGAGCTGAATTTCACTTCACTTACAGATCGAAATCCTTGTGCATTAGCGATTGTAGAAGAACTATCTGTAGCAGGAAGTGTCTGCAAAATACATAAAGACTAATCACTCATTTCGACATTCAAGATTTACAAACCACTAAAATTAAATGGAACCATAGATCTTCACAAAACTACAGTTGTATGTTTTAAGAAAATCAGCCTCCAGGTGGATGTGGAAATTACGCCAACCATCTCATAATAAAAGTGATTTAAGAGCATTTTTTGAAAGCTTCAAACTATATCAATGCATTCATGTTATGCCCAGGTGTATGAAAGAACAACATGTCTCCAACATGAACAAAAGCCATCTTATATGGCTCCACATACCTCCTTTGGTTGCCAAAAATTCAATATTCTAATGTGAACTCATTCATAGAAAAGTGGGTTTTCAAAGAAGTAATTTCAGGAATTTAACATTATCACGTTCCATGATGAATTTCCTTCAAATGTAAAATTAACATGTTTGGTTGGTCCATAATAACCAACCTAACATCTGATATTGAAAAACATACTATGCATTTTCAAACTATGAAATTCTATAATTGCTTATATTAAGTCCTTGGATTTATTATTGTTTATAATTTCCTCCTATAAACTTCTACGGACTAGTATGAGTATATTGAGCTTCAACGAGAATTTTTTCAAGACTCGTATATATGATGGGCTAGATTTTCAACTTTTCGTATGTGATGAATATTATTGAAAACAAAACATGGACTCATACATGCCTCAAGTTCAAGCACAGCTAGATATTTTCAACTTCAGAAGCTCAAACTAACAATAGGGGTATACAAAAGTTAGCATAGAAGGGATTTAGGCATTACTGGCAAACCAGGAATGTTGGACACAACACGTCTATACTTGTGCCTCGGAGAGTAGAATTTATAGTCTCGAGCAGAGATTGCAACTTCACTCCGACCTGTCAGTCGCTTAAACCTGCAAATATTAACAACCAAGTGAGAGTGATGTAGGGACAATTAGCTGTTTTGGTAGGGCAGGTTTTGCAAAGTATCATGAACCCACTTTTTACAACCAGATCAATAGGGTCACTTGGCCAGCTGTTGGGGAAAGCATAAAAATTGGCACTTTCTCCCAGCAGGCCAATACCACATTTGGGATTGCTGAAGCAGCTCACACTGCATCCCCAAAATTGAAATCACACATGCTAGAGTTTCATTCTCATAAATCATCATAATTATCTACAGTAGGTAAAACGAGTAAGAAATCTGATTGAGCACAAGCTATAAATGATGAAGTCCAAATTTTATAACTAGCAAAAGCCCTTTAAAATTTCATAAACAAGTTTTTGCTTGCCTCAGCAGCAATACCAATTTTAACTCAGAGATTTGAAAAATAAAATAATTGGACAAGCTGAAACTACCATCTCAAACTGCGACAGCACAAGTAAAAGTACTTCCAATGAAAAGGGAATAAAAGATGATGAAAAGATATGTACTTTTGAAAAACATTAGTACTATTGGAAGACATGATTTAGAAGCTAAAATTTTGCTGAAGAACATTAGAAAAAGTTATCATGTCAATTTTACAGCCCAGATTGTTGGGAGAAGAAAGAGAGAGTTGAAGTCGGAGAGGGTCAGAAGAAAAGAGAAAGAAAGATAGGAGGCGAAGAGGCGCAAGGGAAAGGTAATATTTCTACTTTTTTCACTGTGACTCAACTGGCCAAAATCAGTATAAATGTCTTAAATCAGGCTAACCATAAAGCATTAAATGGGATTCACTAAATGAAAGTCTTTTATCATTAGGCCAACTATGAGACACTAGTTTTGCATTAATGGTTCGTTCTCCAATCTTAATCGTATCAATTCCCCAAGTTGGAAAAACACATGCTTGAATTTCAAGTCGAAGCACATTAGTGAAATATACTGGTCAGCAAAATAAGTAAAGGTTAAGAACATTTTCAAAAAGGAAATGAAGAGGTGTAGGACACCCTTTGGAATACTCTCAGCAAGAGTAATACTGATGTAACATCTGTCACAAGCTTACTCGGCTTCCAAGTTTCCTGAACCTCAAAATAAAATCCTAATTAAACAGGAATCTTCCTAATGTATCCAAGTTCGGTCAACTTATAAATAAGTCCAATAAGCATGGACCCAAAAAAAAAAAAAAAAAAAGCAAAAAAAAAAAGGCTAAAGAAAAAAAAAAAAAAAAAAAGGCTAAAGCACACTCATGGTTAGGCACAATCATAACTTTCAAACATGTCACTACTTAACACACTTCCTTCTATAATTTTATATTTACAGTAAAAGGTTTTGCACATATCCCCCCATGCCCCAAGATCCCGGCCTCCACCACATGAGGAATGCGGCCATATACATTATTAGGTTTGGATTGAATAAGACTATATTGGTACGAGAAACAAACTTGGCTTCTACATCATAGCCTATAACCATACTAAAATGAAGAAAACGAGTGAAAAGAAAAACGAAAATGGTGCAGCAAATAGTTATTAAACTACAATCTACAAACAGTAATTTGTAGAAATGATACTAGTTACTTACCACTCAGCATCTTCAATGGGCATGCTACTTGGTTTCTCAACTATATCCAAACCATTGACCACCACAAAACGTACTCTCTTCTCTTCTTGTATCACTAATTCTGGGAATCGAGTCCTTGTCTCAAGAGAAGTTGCCAATTCTCTTCTTTTAAATATACAAGAACCTTCATAACAAAACATATAGCCCAATGTAATAGACAAAAAGAAAAATAATAATATGCTTAGTGCTACTTCTTCACATTTCCTTTGGACAAAAGGCAAATAAGAAGGAAAACATAATACCTTTTTTAGGAAATTTCTTGGCCATTTTTCTATACAAACCACCAGATGCTTCAAGTGCTACTCCAATGGTCTTATCACGAATACCATTCAAAGAAACCAGCCTCATATTTACATCATTCACTAGTGTTTCATACATATTTGCCACGTACATCAAGGGCAAAGCAAACCTGGGATCACCTTCATATTGCACATCTCCTGATTTCCTCTTATTCAGTTTATCTTGTCCCGAGTGAGCAACATAATCAGCCTCATTATCAGCCACTTCAATCAAATGATCACCAATAAAATGATCCACTATTATTTGCAAAAATCTCGCTCTTGCAGACTCGATAGGCGAAACATCTGGATCAGAATCCAGCAAAACCAGTTAACATGACCGAAGACATAAATGCAGAAGATGATTTTGATATAAAAGTCTAGTTAGGATTCCAAGATAGTTTAACAACAATATGTACCCTCAATGGTCAATATATCATAGGAAGCTCTAGAAGAGCAACTGTTCTCAAGACTGGATCGATCTTCTTCAACTCCAACACCATGAAGTGGTAAGGAATTCCTATATGATTCATGAATGCAGTCCTGGAGGGGAAAAAAATACACAATTTATTAACTGCATATAGAGCAAAAAGGTGTAACATTTTCTAGAAAAATGTTATCTGTGTAGATTCTTTCCGCATATTTCACAAAACCAATGGCATTGAAACCTAAATCGAAGTTAACTAAATAAGCCATAAAAGGAAGTACCTCTTACTCAAAACATTTCAGTGAATGCCAACAAGAAAAATAAAAACAAATAAAAATACATAAAACATCCGAAACCTTTGGGATTTTTGTCTGTTAGATTCTTTCTTTCTTTATTTCTTTTTCTTCTCCGCTTTACTCTCACGAACCAAACATAACAGGGAATTCATAACTCCAGTATCCAATCAATCTTTTCAGTTAAAAAATTATAAGAAAGAATACAAATAGACTTACAACAGCAGCATTGGAATCATCGTCCGCATCTAAGCCATCATCGGCATGACGATCGACGGTCTCCCCAATAGGGTCGATATTGGCAGGGCGGGAATCAACGGTGTTGAGATCATGCAAAGAACTACCAATGAATGAATTGGCTGATCTCAAATTGTAGTGTTGCACAGGAACCCTACTCCCCATATTCTTCTATCTATATATGCTTCAAATTAACCATAATCATAGCCCTCTGATAGAACTCTTGTTCCTCTTTTAATTGTAAGTGTTGAATTGGAGACTGCAGAGAAAAGAGAGAGATTCATGAGTTAGTATTTTAGTTTCTTTACTCTAGTTCGGAGATGGAGGAGGAGGAACTTATAACGGCTATACGGAGAGAAAGAGAGAGTACATGCCTGATGCCATACCTTAGCTTACGAGAGAAAAAGAAACTTCCAAGCCTCACTCCGGCATCCGCACCTGACCCCCGAGCCGGAGGCTGTTGACTTCAAGTAAATAAACTTTCTGCTACAATTCTATGCGCGCACGACTAGAAGTGGACATTATTCAGGTCCAACCAAATTCTCCCATTCAGTTTAATTTAAAAAATTGGTTTTGAATTTTATAAAAAAAGATGTTTACATCATATTTTTAGCTTGAGTTATGACACTGTAAGTAACTTGGGCTTAGATTAATTAACTAATCTTTAATCAATTAATAATTTATGGAAAATTATAAAAGTGTCATTATATAATGTAAAATTAATTACTTTGTCTTTTTTTTTTTTTTTTTTTTTTTAAAATATAATGTAAAATTAAATTACTTTGTCTTTTTTTTTTTTTTTTTTTTTTTTTTTTTTTTTTTTTAAATACACTACATTTTCCCCTTATTTTACGCTCCCATTTGTGATATACTTCCATCCCTTACTTCATTTTGGATGTTAAATGGGAAGGAAAAGACACAAAAGCCTTTTGTACAATTGTAAAAAAAGAAAAGTGAGGATTTTGTTTCTAGGTTTCCTTGATCGTCGCCGCTAATTCCACCTCTTTGATCAATATGATTATTGAAAGCTCTATGAGTCCTTGTATGAGCATTCAGGTTCTATTCTTGATAGAGCAATGAGTTTTGAGATCAAAAGAAATGAAGCTTGTTATTATTTCTCTTTATTCATTGTTTTGTTGCCGAGAAATGCGAGGAAGATGAAAATTATTTCATCTATCTCTTTATTTGATGTGTGTCTTCTAATTTTAGGTTTCCTTTTTTTATTTGCATTCATTTCATTTAGTTTACTTCAACTATAATAGTTAATAATAAAACAAGGAAATTTGAATGAGTTTTAATTAAAGACTAAGAAAATTAATAATTGAAAAGGAAAAGAACACAAATAATTTTAAAAAGTGAAGGAAAGTTAATGGTGATGGATCAGATTAAGAATAGGAAACTCAGCCACAAGAAAGAAAACGTGTGTGTGAGAGAGAGAGAGAGAGGGGGGGGGGGGGTGGGGAAAGAGTGAGCTGTAATTTACGAATGAGAAGTTCTTCCCCTACTTTCTGACCTATCTTTTTTTAACACTAATTGGGGGGGGGGGTGGGGAAAGAGTGAGTGTAAGTTACGAATGAGAAGTTCTTCCCCTACTTCTGACCTATCTTTTTTACACTAATTAATTATTTATATGTTGACAAAATAGTTATTTTTGACATTTTATAAGGACAATATTTATTAGTTTTCCTTAATTTATAGCTAAATAAAATATAAAGATAAATTAATATGAGATGGTGAAAAAAGAGTCAGAAAACTATCTGGCACAATCTCAACAATCAAAATAAATTGAAGTAAATATATGAGTAACTTGAGCAGTTAAGTACCGCTAACTTGATAATCACCTGGTGACTTAAAAAAGCCAAGCTCAAACATAAAGTAAGGTACCAATAATCAATCAATTAAACTCAAAGACAAATTCAATAAAAGTAAAATTAAGCAATTCAATTTCAAATCTTTTTTTTTAGTTCATTTTATTTTCTTTTCCAAAAACAATTATTTTCCCCTTTCACAACTATTACCAATCAATTCAAGCAATATTTGTTCTCTACAAATTGGACATATGATCTTTATTTTATTGCATTGTTATTTTTATTTTCCAAGGAATTGGTGTATCATTTTATGGTAGAATCAAACCCTGCAATTCTCTGGTTAAAAATTTAGAAGAGCATTTATTTGCTAGTTGGTAAACTTAAATCCCTAACATGCTTGGTACCATACACTCTAGAAAGGAAGTCATTGGGTCCCAGAATACAGGAAAAGGTCATAACACTCTTGTTCTACAGAACATGAAACATATTGATGGAGGATCTACTTCTCAAAAGGAAGAAGAAACAGACTCATAGTTCTAAATCAAGAAATTGCGTGCCTTTATTGTGAGCATAAGTAAAAACAAAGGAAGTTAGTTCTTGTACTATTTTCTGATATTGACTTTTTTTTCTTTATTCATGTTCGAGAAATCTACTAATCCTGGAAACCTTGTTTTCACATCATTCACTAGTAAATAAATAGTTTTCTAGAAATGAACAAGTGTGTTCTGCTTTCAAGAATTGCAGAGAGCTTAAGAGCAATAACTTAAGGCTCCTTAGGGGGCACTGATGCAAGTTGTGCCCCAACAGAAGAGGGTTATTAACCTTCTTACGGGGAAGCAGTAGATAATATGCTAACCTAATTCACTACTCCAATCTAGTTTCCATAGTGAAGGCTTCACGTCTTTCTTAGATCAATAATCACATGAATCTTGAAATCCACCCTAGAGTATGTAAAAATAAAGGTGTAGCAGTGCTAATACATTAGGTGTTCTAGGTGACAGTTGGCTCGAGGGGCAGTTAGGGTACAAGGGTACTGTTCTACCTTCAGTTCTTTACATCTCAGCAACAATAGGTACTCCAACTGCTCTAATTACTATTGATAATGTTTCACCTACTCCTCTTATTACTATGGAAGCTTGAAGGATGTGTTGTGCAGGAACTATATGGGTTTAGATTCTGGCAGATTGGTGATCTAACATTTTATAAACCTTATCCTGCAGATATTGATAAAGGGAATCCTTACCCTAGAGGCTAAAAATCTCTAACATTACTACATTCTTTATAGAGGATGGAAAGTCTATTCTAGAGCATATTCCATGCTTCACCATATAGTATGGGAATTGGTGAACCTAATAAGTTTATAGATTACAAGCTCAGGTTCCCTAATTCTCTCATAGATACCGCCTTTACGTGGTCTTTCACACTCTTTAGAAATTTATTCTTGACAGAAAATGGAGCATGTATTCCATACACAGTTCGTAAAGGCTAAACTTAAGGTGTGTGTTGCTAAGCTATCCAAGCTGATATAGAGAAGTAGTGAATCAGTATACACTTTCAAGCTAAGTTTAAGAAGTTAAAGAATAGTTATAAAATATTCTTATGGAAGCAAAGTTAGTCGAAATGGAGCAGAACGACTTGGACTTTAAGCTGAGAAAGAAGTCTTAGTACATGGATTCAAAGACTTCTATGAGCTCAACACAAATGTAGTCGAATATAAGGAATTATTAAGGAAGAATCATAGATTAAGGGGAAAGCTACCAGCACCTATTTCCAAGAGACTCATTTTGTAGGTGGTCACTACTAATATTGTTAATTCATGTTTATATATTGTCTCAGTCTTAAGGTGCCCACAAAAGGGGGCTAGCCTTTAGAAAAAAAATATCAAATAATTCAACAACAGACCCTCAGTATGCCTTTTAATGACTCCAAGATTTGAGATTTTTGATTTTCTATTGAAAGAAAAATTTATTACTCTTCTTGCTAACCACAAGATCCTCACTAAAAAAGAACTAAAGGAGGAGATTATTGTAAATGTTCCAATTTCCTTGAAATTTTTCAAAAGGGTTTTCCTCATTTTCATTTTATTCCCAAATTATTACTCAATTTTTATGAATTGATCCCTTTGATTATTGTATTAACCAATAGAATTTGATTATAATATTGATCCCAATGCTTTGGTTTATGTTTGTTCAGTATACACGCGCTGACCTTACGAATAAATTGGCAAAATGACCATAAGATGCCAAAATTTATTAAAATTTTTTTTGCTACAAAGTTCACTTATTATTTTTTGTATACCTAATTTAAGTTTAAGGCCCTGTTCGGTAAAACTTTTCATCTAACTTTTAACGTTTTGACCAAGTATTTATAATAGTTTCTAGAGATTGAAGAAACTTTTTATGAAACATTAAATACTCTAACGATTAGCATTTTATATCAATTAATTAAATTTTTTTGATAATTATATTTATTTTTTTCAAAAATTCAGCTAATTAAACAACTAATGCCATTTTTTGTCATATTAAGTTAAACAACTATTTTTTTCCTAATATTTCTAATTGAACCGCTATATAAACAATTATCAACTAGCAAACAACTACTACTATTAGAACAACTAATAATTACTAAAAGGAATAATGTTAATTTTGGTGCATTTACTTGTCATTTTTTTGTTTTGGTGTCTGAACGGAAAATTGTGACAATTGCGTGTCCAAACCTATAATTTTGTTCATTTTGGTGTCTCATGATGGCATGGACTACCGAAAAATCTAATGGGACTAATTGGAACCCACAAATGCCTACGCGTCCACTTATGTGGACTGACTAATTTTACATGTAGGACGCTAGCGTGACAAAAGGGATAAAATGTCCAATTTGCTTCTCTTTAATATTGCCCAAACACAATCCAACACCCCTTTCTTCCTCTCTCTTCTGAGTTGCAGGATTATTACTCACAAGTGTCATCATTTGAGTCCCTCACTTTCTATCTCTCTCTATTCTCCAGTAATGGTTTAGGTTCGCATTTTAATTTTCACCTCTATCTTTCTTTCTCTCTTGGTGAGCGTCACATAGTCTTGTGCTTGGTAGGTTGTGCCGTTGAGGTAAATGGGCCCTCTAATCCACCGAAGATTTAATGTTTGGAAAGAAGGCTCTATATCTTCTCCTCCTCCTCTTGCAGTGCTTCCTTTGCCCCCATTTTCATGTTGTCTCGCATTTGGATCTTTTCACTTCTTTTATCAGAACATAAGTCTTAGGTTTCTTTTTATCCTTCCCACTTTCTCTATATGAAGTGATTCTATGAGGATTTTTCATCTGAGATTTTGATTTTGGATATGGGTTTTCAGAATAATGTGGGTTGTAGGATTATTACCCACAAGTGTCATAATTCAAGTTCCTCTCTTTCTTTCTCTCTTCATTCTCCAGTAATGGTTTAGGTTCGCTTTTTTATTTCACCTTTTATTTATATTTCTTTCTTGGTGAGCATCACATAGTCTTGTACTTGGTAGGTTGTGCCGTTGAGGTAAATGGGCCCTCTACTCCACTGAAGATTTAATATTTGGAAAGAAGGCTCCATATCTCATCCTCCTCCTCTTGCAGTGCTTCCTTTGTCCCCATTTTCATGTTGTCTCGCAATTGGATCTTTTCACTTCTTTTATCAGAACATAAGTTTTGGGTTTTTTTTTATCCTTCCCACTTTCTCTATATGAAGTGATTCTATGAGGGT